TTGAACATCGCAGGAGGTAGGTTCGGTGAGTACGGGGTTAAAACAACGTGCATCGAATTTTTGGTAAAAAAAAAAGACCGTTATGTGAGTTGTGATGTGTGAATGCATTGGCGTGATGGAAAAACCAGGATTGATTGTGCTAGTTCTGGTTTCTTGCGTTGATCTACCTTTCAGTTAGGAACTTGCGATTTTTGTTTTAACTTTTGATAAACTTACTGTACCCTTGGGTGACTGTAGAGCCAAACCTATTAAACTTATATTGAATGATTTCTCGACGGTCAAAGAAAACTGTGCAAGTGAACAAATTTTTTGACCTCATTCGCGCAACTTTCTTCAGTCGAGGTTCGTTATTGAAGCCAAATTTGTGTCTCGTCCCAGCCGTACACTCATATCTGGCCACCCGTAGTAACATTTTACTTAAGCTTAGCTCTTCAACAGATGGTAAAAACTGTTCCTGACACAGTTGTTCACGGGTATCCATATGCTGGATATTAAACTGTTTTGGCACAAACTTTGCCGTAGGCCTTCTGACGCGTAAACGATGGGTCAGAACTCTTTAAGATAAGCCGGTTGAGATTTACCTTTTGTGTTAGCGCCCTTATGATAATTCAGTGGCTGGCAATCATGAATTGTTTTACCCTTTTCACGTTTTTGTCCGTGAATCGTCGTTATCACAGGCCTTTCAGTAAAAGGACCGTCCATGATGACCTGTTATCTCTGTTCGGGACGCTTGAACTACCTGTATACTTACACATTACTTAATTTCCTTAACGTTTTACAACTTTATAGATAGTGTGCTTTATTTCACACCAAAGACACGCTTATTGCTCCATTTAAGAAAACTAGCAAAATGCTCAGTAGATAAGTTTATTCAATCTCGTCAGAAAACTTGAAATTGCACCAAATTGTTATCAAATTGATCCTGTGGAAAAACAAGGCTCTAAAGAGCGCCAAATTTGAAACGATTCGTTCTTTTTCGAGGAATTATTTCAAGCCTGCGCTTTCGATTTCCAGCCTTCGGCACATCCAGTACTTCTTCGTTTGAGCTTTTTATAATATTGGAAATATATAGCAGATTAGGCTGAATGGTTCTGAAAGCGACGAACGAGGGAAACCTCGTCCCAACTTCAAAAACCAGTGTCTTCTTATGTTCCAAAAGAAGCATTTATTGAAGGAATAAGGAATATCAAGTAACATTACAAGCCCTATAAAAGTCACTTTTAAAATAGTATTTCGGAATCCTGTGCATTCCTGAGTTCTGAAATTGTAGAGAACTTAGACGATTCCGCTAGTGAAACAACGGAAATGCCAACACCTAAATATGGTACTGGGAGGGGACCACAGAGAGGAGTAAAAAAGCGGATTAAGTACCTCGTGGGCATTCTAAATAGAGCTGATAAAGACACCCAGGCAAATGATCTCTAGTGGAGACTATGGGACCAAAAAATGCAAAAGACCGATTGGAAAAACCCGCGACTGCTGATAAAAACGGTCTAATGAGCGGTGCTTTATGTCAATAAAGAGCCCTTCGGCATCAGCGACCCTTTAAATCAAAATGAATATAAGCATACTGCTTGCAGCACAAAAAAACAATGGTGCGAATCTACCGAGCTGCGGTTATAGAATGGTGCCGACATTAGCGCCACTGGTGCTACTGAGTGTGCAGAACGAATTAAAGACATTATGACGAGTCAAACTTTTTATATCACTGGAGGCACATAAGAATTACTACCAATGGCAAAGAAACTGGAGTCACACGTCGGCAAGCGAAGAGGGGGGTGGACCTGCTGGCATATCCCCAGGATATCAGAATTTTGCATAATAGACAATGTCCTGTGATTATTTGACGCAACCAAAGGCTGGACGCGGATGCTTTGGTCAAGAAAATGAAGAGGCTTACGTGTGTCTACTTTGACCTTTAACGAAAAGCAAAGTTAACCAACAGTAGATTAAAAAAGGCAAGGAAAGCGGGTAGTCCTGCGCCACCAGTGTTGAAAAATAAACACACACGAATGACAGCAATCGGAAGTTTCATCAAAGCGACAGTTAGGAGAAAATTCTACCTAAAAGGCTACCTGCTAGCAGCGAGGAGGGAGAATATCGAAATGACGCCAGCCACTACGCAAACAAACGACATTGCATGCTTGAGGACCATGCATAGAGCCTAAAGTGCATAAAGAGGCTCCATAGGGTAATGTTTTATCCACAATGCTTGTTTCTCCCTGATATTCACAGAAGACGAAAGCTTGAAGGCATCTTCGTTTTACTATATTTTTTTCTCGTTTTTGTATTCGGCAAATACGAAAAAAGTGAAGAGGGTTGTGGGCTTCTTATACTATTATATATTATAGTAATGTACCTTCCTCTGGCAAAAAGGAGTTCGACTGCAAAGGATAAAAATTTTAGTAAAAAGTCGATACTACTAGCGTACTAGCTCGGTAAGAAATTCATGAAGTAACCGTCAGAAGTTTAACTTCGTTTGACTGGATGGGCTTATGTGGTTTTCTTGAGATTTTTACGGAATAATTTACGATCAAATTACTTCTGAGCCAACCAGGAAGAGAGTAGTACTATTTAGATTGGCTTCTTAAATCACTCTGTAGGCTGAAGAATAAGGTGTATCCATGAAAAAAAAAAATTAAAATTTCATTACGAAGCCATCTGTAGTAAGTGTTTTAACTAGAAAGAAAGTCACTTAATTCAAACTTTAGAAACGTTTCAAGTAGTTATTTTAATAATTTCGCATATTTATTTTATGATACATATGCGTCGATAGCCGCAAATCGTTATGCGTAATTAGAATTATCTCAACTGAACGACAAGTGAGTTGCATAAGGTTATTAAATTTAAATTTATTAAGATTTAAGCTTCACATTAAGCCATTTGAGTTCACGGTTGACATTTAGAATTCGCTCAGAAATACACTGGAAGGCAGCTACAAACGCATGGTCAACCTAATGTTATAAAAGTAGGTTATTATGTTTTTTGTCATTTTCACTCAAAAATAGCTATTTTAGGTATAGAGGTATGTATCGCACTTTACTCAGTTCATAGAGGTCTAGCGATTAGCGTCAAGAAAACTTCCATTACATAGAACACGGTACTAAGTGTTTACCCCCCCCCCCCCCCTATCTAGGAACATAAACATATATTTCTATTCAGCCTATCGAGAGCTGTCGACCACTACTAAAAACGAGTCTTCTTACACAGACTTCCAACTGGTAAATTCCTATCCCAGTGAAACGTAAGCGAAATTAGTTATCGCGTTAAGAAATACCTATTTTAAAATGAAGCACGTTGTGTTGCACTTTTACTTAGTTCGTCCGAACTTCTAGAATGTATAATATATACACAATGGCGTCAGAAAAACCATCAAGAAAGTGGTATTTTATGTGTCTCTCTTATAGAATTTGTCAAAGAAAATTTCAGCAAAAAATGTGTTCTTGTTCCTACAACTCCCTCAGCTCACAAAACCATTAAAAATTCCCTGGGGGTAAATTTCAACCTCATTGCGACATGAATAACACAGATACTACGTTCGGTTTTCGGAAATACTCGTTTTAGATATAAAGACATTATTACTCAGAGCGTGGACATCTATCGATCGATAACAATAAATTACCCCTTCAGTGCTAAGCTTTCAACTGTTATCAGCTTGTTAGAAGAAACAAAGATATCATACTTAAATATAGCCCACCTTAGCCCACCTTACAGCTTTTCGTCGAGATGTACAAGAGATTCTTGCAAAAAAAAATACCTAAAAAAAGCAGAAACAACAAAATGCACCCAATATTTGGACAATCTGGCAGCTCCTACCGCGTTAATTATGAACCATCTGGATAAAATATAAATACCGTTGTACCGTTAGATCAGCAAAAAATCAAATATCTAAATTACATTGTAGAGCTTAAATACCAACAATAAATTTTCCAACAGTTGTCGAGTAAATCTTGCCTAAATTAATATTGCCCTCAGTAAAAAAAGGAGTTCCCGCGGGAGGAAGTATTTATCCGATCAATGAATGTGAATTTTATATACTAAGGTAGTTTAAACTTGATCAACCATTTTGTAAATTTGCCATATATATACATATAATATATCATAAGTAAGTGCCCCCCGGAAAAATACTAACGCGCTTGAAAACGAACTGAGATAGCTCATATTTATCAATTATCAACTAGCTTGGCACAAACCTGAACTTTACCGTTAATTAATGAAAATACACAGAACCAAAGATTATATCAAATACTTAGTATTTAAATCCAATTGCACTCCTTTTGTAGGGCTTGAAAAACAAAAAAGGCTTTCCCATATAAATCTTTGAGAAATTATTAAGGGCTGTCGAACAAATTGCGAATTACAATTCTTATTTAAAAAAGTATTAGTTCAATCCGACCACTTCACGAGGACAATTTGGGTAATGAAGTAAACAGACACAGTGTTAATGTACCAGAAGACCATGCGGGTTTCACCCCCCAGCGTAAAACGGGGTTTGCGCCCCCCTGTACTGCTATTATTTTAACGAAATCGAATCGTTGGGAATACAGCTAGATCGCCTAACGGATATAGCATACAGTCGTGTTTACCGTTGTCATTTGGTCGTCATTTTATCAGATTGTTCATTAAATTTCATTGAAGAACACTTACTTTAAGATACTTTGTATGTTTCGAGTTTTATGTCCGGTATCGCCGATGGACATTCCATCACACGGTTAGCTCCCAGCACGAAACAAAGTCTGCTTATGCTTGAGTTCGAATGTAGACCACAACGTATGCCTAAGATTAGAAGGCAAATATATTATCTATCACCGAGATACCGTAATATACACTACAGCTAAGGTGTACAGATCGACAGCATCCGTTTCCAGATCTCCTGATGTCTTGCACTATAAGCTGTGTTATCCCGTTTTATGAGTCCTATTTGCCTAGTTCAGTTAATCTTCTACAGTCATTTCTGCTCTTCCATTGGAATTACGGGGAAAAATAAACCCTAAGTCGAGTGTTACTTGCATGATAAGTGCTCTCTTCATGCCTTTCTGGCGGTCGCTGGTCAGGATCAACAATAACGCGAGCGTGTCGTCAATTTTTAGGGCAGTCCTTAGCCACTGAGGTTCCAAATGTATGCATTACCCCATGGAAGAACGCTTTGCAAGAGTTCAGCGATGGCAGCAAGTTTGGAGTAAATATGTAACTTAAAAGACAGCCCAAAAAAAGGAGCAAGTTTACTTATAAAAAATAAGAGTAAAATAAAGATTATATTCGTGAAAGTTTCTTGAGCTAAATTTTGATTGATCTTGAGCTAAAAAATTGAATCGTCAACTGTATCAAATACTTAATGCGCCAGAAAATTGAAAATATTAGAATATAAGAATTATTATAAAAAATAGGGTATTTCTAAGATAAGATCTTTAGAACGAATTTCATTTAAGAAGAAACTCTTAAAAGAGCGATTAGCTAATATTAGTAATAAAAGGGCTTTTATTGTTGATGACCGTCCTGTCAATTACTTAATCTGAGAGTGGTAATTCCTTCATTCAAGGATAATATAGCCTTAAAAATTGCTCTGGATGGCGATGTGGATGGCATGCAGTCCTGTCTCGTCGATACCCCGGAGATTAGTAACACATGTGATATACTGATCTGCTGTTTACCTTAGGCAAAATCTGAGACGAAGTAGCACACCATTGCCCGCTGCATAGTTCTCTCACAGGTATTCAGCCGAGGCCAAAGCGAGCACAGCTACTCGTATGGCATTAGAGCGTAATGCTCAAGCTTGGTCTTAAGTGTGGCGTAGCGCTTGCGGTAGTACGAGACCTTGATCAGCGTCGTGTTCTTACGCTAGCTGATATTGTATCGAACGCGGAACCGCAGAGCGTAATAGGCGCGAAAACGAGTAGCCTGTGCAGAAACGTAAGTAGTGTCAGATCGGGACCAATTATTTTCTGGGTAGTATTACACCGACCCCAAAAAAATACGTTCTTGATAAGAATTCGATTTGCGTCGGGCAAACCGACCCCCTAGGTTTTTAGTGGTACATATATAACGACAAACGTTTTGAAAGGGTGAAATAAGCTTTAATGGCAACAGTAACCTTTGTTCGTTATCGTCCATTGTTTGGATAACATATGAAGACAGCGAAGGAACTTTTCATTTTACCTATTTGCGGAGTTTATTCAAAATAACTTGCTTACGAGGACGCGTTGGACGAATCACAGCCAATAGCACACAACAGGTGATAATCTAAAGGCCCTGAATATGGTAAAAGCTGCTAATAAAGGTTCTGTTATTCAGTGTTACGCGTCACTTTTACCACACGCATCAGGTCCTTGTTTGTGGAACGTGAACTACAGCGAGGATAAAAGGAATAGCTTTAAAATCAGCTCATATTATTTTTTCTTCTATTATTAGATTTATTATATATTATATATTATCAAAGACATATAGATTATATGTCTTTGATCTAAATGTTAGGGACTGTGATTTGGCGCATTCATTAAATCATTATATATATATATATATATATATGTGTGTGCAGGAAGTAACACGCTTGAAATAAAATTTATTATATTTATTAGATCCTCTGTTATTTGACAATGGTAAATGTAGCTACATTGTATGAGTTAGCTAAGAACTGTAGGCAATGTGTCGATAAGGTACATAAAAGCATATCCATAATTGAAAAACGTGTTCTTCTCATCTTAGATCACCATATCCTATAGAGAATAATTAGGCCAGCTATCGGGAGAATGGCACAGAACAGAAAAAACCACGGAGTCATACCGGTTGAAGCAGTGAAAGCAGGGTGGTCCTCGTAACTGAAATCGTACAACGAGCTTTTGATAACACTGTGTTCCGGTATCCTCATCTAATTACGTGTCAGGAGCATAAAAGGAAAAAAATGAATGTATAGATAGAATTCTAGTCTATTTAAGTTGACTATTATATATCAGTATCCAGTTTTCTTACTCAGAATATGGTGTATTTAACATTATCATATCAAGTTTATGAGGTCAGGTATGAATATACCTCTCAATATGCGGTTCTTATAGTTAGCCAATGCAGCTCGTTCATTCACTCTTCGATTGTTGTACAATTTTATATTTTATTTATGTTTATATTGTATCGTAAAGAGTTGATCAACGAATAACAACACGAGCTTGCAAGGGGAAGTAAAATAGGACCGATGTTAAGTACCTATGTAATGCAAGCATAATTGAATAAACAAGCAATAATAAAGTGTCTGTGTGTTAACATACAGATAATGAGGTTGTGAGGTAGTCTGAAGACGTTGATTATCGTGGCACTTAATAACACAGTGTTTTGCTAGCCACTCATCCGTGTCCCTGCGATAGTCATTAAACTCTTTCGATTTCCATTCGGGATGCGGCTGTTCCTCATGACAGTCGTATGTAACAAGACGGCTTGGACCATGCCTTTGCACGAACATGTCAATTTTGCAGGATCTGATTGGCTATATGAGGATAAGTGCAATTAGATGGAAATATTTAGAGGAGAGGACCAATTTTAGTTTAGAGCTGATTGCTTTAGCAAACCAATATGGAAGTAAACTTTTCATATGATAATTATTGTTTACGTCAAGTGTGCCAACAATCGATGCAGGTCAAAAACGCTCCTAGCATAATTTTTCTGCTCTAGGACTTATACTGGTCACCATTAATTTAACCTAGGGAAATTGGTCTTTTGGTTGTGAGTGGGTCTATTAACGTTTAGGTTTGGCATGAAGCATGAAAATCCCACTGTTTATTGTCGCTTATGGAGGTGCATGTTGTCGTTTTATGGTTTATGGGCGTTTTTGTTGCATGGTTCTACGTTTCCACTTATAATAAAATTTATTTCTTAAACAGAATATTCTTTTTTACGCCTTTTCATCGCGCATTGTTGAAGAACCATTTTGCTAAGTTAGCGTCACACGTAAAACCGCGCGGACTTACCGCTCCTGGCATTGCCACGCATTCGTCAAGGCTGTAAAAATGGGTTTCGTTTTTTGTGCAGTTCGAGGGCATGAAATCCGCGAATATTCTGTATTTGAGGTATTGGCAATTCATCACGAGACCCCCGATTACTCGAAGTAATACGTCTTTCCGATCGAGTTTGAATTGCTATGAATATTAAAAAGTATAGAAAAATATCATTAGCCGGACCAAAAGCATCTCATACGATAACGTAGTGCATGTATACTATGTAGTCTGGTTATTTTCAATGGATACTGAACTGAATAAGTGGTCTTGGTGTAGATCTGGCCTTTTCGGCCATTATATGCCTGGCCTCGATTTAGTGGTTTCTAACTTTGGATTTCTCCTTAGGACCTTTTTTCCCTATAGCTACTTGCACTGACTTAGCGAAGCCATCATTTGACAGAAAATAAGGTTCAAACATTACATGAGACTCCGCTTAATTATAAGCATGATGCACCAAACCTTTTGCTTTAATTAAAAGCAGAAAGATAGTACCCGTAATAGTAGTAGAAGTAGTAGTAGTAGATGTAGTTTAGACTCCACATAGATGACTAAGTGTGAGCCTAGTATATTTTGAGTTTATTCTTGTATAGCTGGCTATAAACAATTCACTTCGAAAAATTCTACAGTTCTATAGCAGGTGGCTTTAGATTAAGTATTGAATTGGTAGACGGTATTATTATTGTTTCATTTCCTCCGTGTTCATTTAGTTGTTTTTACAACTCGAATTGCGGTATAGCAAATAATAGGTGTTTCAAAGTCACACGATTCAATCTAGTCAGCTGGATATCTAGCTAGCTTTTGGTAACCAACAGAAGCGAATACGATTTCCAAACGTATATGAAAATATCAGATAGTACCTTGTATATATTATGTTTAGTATATAAGATGGACTTACCCTAAATGCTACGTATGCCGCATATTCGGCTGCAATCGTGAGGTCCTTATCAAAGATCATGGACTTCTCGTCACATTCTGTGGCTCGCTCAGCTGTCTTGCGTTCATCAATTTTATTCAAGAAAAGTGAATTAACTAGATGACAGAAACATACTGCCACAATGCCTTTAATAAACCAAAACATCGTTTAGTAAAGCTTGAAAAAAACGTGTAGATTTTCACAGTACGTGTTTCAGCTGAAGTTTCTGATGATCCCACAAGAAATAATTCCGATTGGTAAACTATTATTATTCTTTGTACGTAGAAAAATCATAGAGCAGTCTGCCACGCTTTATTAAGCAAAACGTCTACGAAATAATCGATCGTATGTCCTCTCGATGCTTGTCAATCCTAGCGCAGTACGTACATTTTTGCAAGATAAACCATCGCTCCAACACGACATTACTCATAGATCTTTGATAATATAGGGAGAAAGCAGGGTTGCGTTCTGGTCGTAGCCGAAGCTGAAGATGTCCTGCTGCAAATACAATAGCTCATCGATCAAGTCAGTCAGGCACATGCCCAGACCGATAACAATTTCGAGCGACTCAACATGTACACAATGTGATACGTCACTCTATAGGCTGACGTGGACGTTCTCTGCGGGCGCTATTTTATTTTATAGATGATTGATTTAATACGATTCTCTAACAGTGGAACAGGGATGTTGATTTTATTTGGCATCTTTTTATTTGATGATTCCAAATAATGGTAACGTTCAGCTTCGAATAGCTTGCAATTTCTTAGCTTGTTGCTTAAAGGGTTAACTGTGAAGGATCCTCGTTGTGAGTGCTTCGATGATTTTCTCATAATTTCATTTGTCACAAATTAATTTCAGTTAAATCTATATAACGATGCTACGAACCACACAATGGACGTTAAACATCTGTAATAATCAATATACGTTACAGTTTTACTTGTAACGGTATAATAAAAGAGTTGTTAAAAGAATATTTTGGGTGCTCAAACGTTTTTTTTCACTTAATTGTATTACGTTTCATTATCTCTTAAGGCGATGTTAATGCCGACCCTTTTGCCTCGATGTCGTAGAAAAAAACCACATAAAATTTTCAATCTTCCTTAAAAAAAACGTGTTCTAAATAGTTGTATATATTGTAGCGGGTAGCAGACAGCTAATGACACAAGAATGCAATTTATTCGAAAAACACCTTACTCTCCAGCAGTTCGATAGCAATGGAGACAATTCAGATCTTGCTTTGCCTTTCATAGGCACCGTAGCTATACACAAACGTGTAGCGTAAGAATTTTGTGCAAGACAAATCCTTGAAACGAAATTTGTTAGTCGTATCCGTTTTTTTTTCTTCAAATTTCTTCTTCTTAGTGTACTCTTCTTCTCGAAACCTCTGCTTAACATTTGTGGAATACTATAAGGAATCTCGTAAAATCTGTTTAGCCACGGTTAGGTGTTCGGTTCACTAACCAAATAACTTTAGCCTAAAGGCAGCGGCCAATGCCTTTTTTGTTATAGACACTTAATATATTAGGTACCGCCGAAGAAAGTCATTCTGGCTTTGTATGGTCATCCCTCCTTAATTCAAACCCGGTAACAAGGGGTCAGGTAATTTCTATCGAATGTCTGCATTTCCGTTCGTGCCGCACGAATCTCTAGCACGTAGGCCATTTGGTTCCAAAATGTTGGAACTTATCAAACATAGGCGTGATGCAGCTCGTCATCAACACATAAGGTGTATCTCTGTCAGCTGGTACATTGTATATAGCCGTCAGTTGGCGACGGCGAAACTATTTTTAGCTCCGCTTTTTTGGTACTGCCATTCTGCTGAACTAAGCCAGTAGGAAACATTTAATTGGCCAAAATGTCTACTGATTCCCGCTCGAAGTAGTTAGCATTTGACGGAAGCATCGTGTTAAAGTCTGTACCCAAGTGTCGTTCGGGGACAACAACCCAACCATAAAAATTCTGTGACTCTGACCCAGTTACTACGTCTTGCAAAACGGAATTTTTTCCTGCATTAAACGTATTTTCGGTGCTTTAAAAGTCTGCAATCGGCGCAATATCATGAATGTCTTCGTCAGTAGCTTCTTCTAAATTGAGACTCGGGAAGTGCAAGCAATGCTTGTTCTTTGTATTCCATCTAGTAAACGTTTAAAATATGATAGAAGATTTAGGACAGGATATAAGGAGCCATTCAACATTAGCACGTAACGCGTCCTGGCCTCGTATAGTGCTGATTACACGGGGGAACAGGAGACTTCAATTGGACCAATCTTCGATGCTGGGCGGTTTGTCGCCGTCTATGGGAAGCTGAGAGACGATCCTCCCTTCGATTATCTTTCTAATAGCTCTTCGAATCCGGAGTAGAGGCCTAAGGAGATATCATATGAGACGAAACGATTTCCACTACGCAACGTACAATCCAGGCCGATTTCTTATCCATACAATTAATCTGCTCAGAGCCTGATTTAGACACTGAGGTAGGCTCCTGCCAACAAGAAGCAAATTTTAGTGATGGTCGCCGAATTTTTTCGACCAGTGTGAATCCGGTCGCTGTGCAACAATATGATCTGCTGAAGGAGGCACATGCTCCAGTCTTACCAAGCAAGTTAGTCATAAGCAAAATATTCCAGGAAACTGCGATCGGACGAAGCGCCTACTGACATTGAAAATCCTGCAATTCTTTTCCTTTTCATTCACGCTGAAATCTGTTGCCTATAGTAGTCCTGTGGTCGATGATCTGTAATCGAGCAATTATTCTTGACTGTGATAATCATTAGTGAACGTTGTTGACGTAGTTCTTATTTCATAGAAAGTTTGACAAACTTCCTGTACTGAAATGCATTTAAATTAGAAACATCAACACGAAGTAAAAATGGCGAGTACACCATTATTTTTAGCTGATAACTGTTGGACAATGCAGCTTTTAACGTGCCTTCATCTGCTAGCTTATTTTGTGAGTAGGAAGGACCAAACAAAGAAGCGCATTTGAGCAGGCACGTAAGGCTGACTATAGCTAGAAGGAGGCTGGAGACTGTGATAATCGTTAGGTGCCACACTGTCGGGCAGCGCAGAAAGCTTGCCCTAAAAGTAAAGGCATTTCGCCGGGATTCTCATCGAGAGGTACCGAAAACTAGTGATTTATTAAGCTTATTATGGCGCTTGAACTATGGCCTAAGGATCCATCTAATAATCTCATACTAATAGTAAGATCTAATGTTATTTGCAAAGAAAATTTTCAATGTAGCTTGTACTTGCTCGAAAGTTTGCTATCTCGAGCTCGACTGAGTCTGTACTCTCAATACTGCTGTTGAAGCTGTAGTTTAATAGTTTAATACTTGCACAGTAAAGTGCGTCTAGTGTGCCAGCGTACCAAAAAAAAGGTTATCTATGGGCTTCGCAGTTAAAACAGGCCATATTGATATATAGTCTCCTGTAATATCCGTACAGCCAATCTATAAGGTATCGATAAGTCTCGGATTATCGTAGTATACCTTATTGTACTGAAAATTATAAAAAATATTAATATAAAGTTGTGCGCACTTTATTACTACGCAATTGGGTGCCAAGAACAGTCGGGTTCAGATATTCAAAGGACTAAGCATAGATTATTATAGATAATGTCAGCTAAAGTTAATTAATTAGTTGGCTATGGTTATTACCCATCAAAATATAACGATAATAATAAATGACATGAAAATTATTCGCAACCACTTTTACAGAGGTTGTGTATAAAGCCAATGACGGTATTGGCGAACCTCACCGAAATGGGCACTAAATAAAACGCATATCTGCTACGTTTATTTTGGCTTCCGGTAGATTATAGAAAGCCGATATGAGCACAGACAAGATCAGTCCTCTCTGCAGTTAAAAGTAAAGCATTGATGTATGCGTGCTCGCTTTAATAGAATAGGAACACAAACGCTATCAGGCGTTTATAGCGCAGGATAAACAGATTACTGCTCGAAGTATAATTGGTTTCGCCAACCTGCAATGATAGAAGTACTATAGATATCAGAGCCCACAAAAACCCCAGAATAGCAACAACAACTTTTCAATCGAAAGCTAACAGATGGTGCTGCCACACTTCTATGGCCTACTATGATTAGTAAGAGATTTATTTTATGCTTAGCTTTTCTTTCAGGTTTAGGGGAATGACTTTTGGTCTCTAGCAGCTTTTGTCGTTGTTTTAGTAGGACTGCTTCGTATACTACGATAATGTAATCAAACACAATGTGTTTATTTTGAACAACTCTATCGAAAATAGAAACTGAAGATTCGGTCGTACTTTTCCCGTAGTCAGCTCTAGTTTTTCCGCCATCTTGAATCGTTTTTGTACAGATAGAATCTCCAAAAAGTTTTCTAAAAACCATTCATTTTATCTTTAGCAATACCTTGAAAAAAATGTGATGTAACTAGAATCTAAGTAGACTAATAAAACAATTATACTGTACGTATTTTATTCTTGCAATCTATCATTTAGATAGCTCCATTCACTTGCAGAGTCCTTGGGTTTCCATCGTCATTGTTTAAACTCACACGGACAGGTTACGAGCAAAACAAGTTTAGCTAACCACAAGAAATACTGCTAAAGCAGAAATTACTCTGTGGATCTGAAATCTTTTGCAACTATCAGAAGTTGGTGATAGACCTCTACCTTTGTCGTTATGTAGCCTAAATTATAGAAGACGTGCGAACTGACCTGATGAAATAGCATGTATACGGCAGCATATTATTTCATTGGAGTCTATTAACTGTTTTTCTCTACATGATAAAACCTTTGAAGCATGACAAACTAAAATTTACATCGTTATAACCTATATAATAATAGTAATAACAACATAGCAGTTGATAGCTGCGCTTAGTTAGTACTGAGTATCTGTTAGCAGCACACACTGTCATGCAGAGCGCAAAGGCTTGACATGTGAATAGATCTCCATTATCCACGAATTAACGGGCCTTCGTAACATACGCAGCATGTAAGTGTCCGTAAAGTTACAGTTGTTCGTCTAAAGTGTAGGTAAACATAGCGATATAGGCATACTAGGTAGTCCAGTTTGAGGCCCTCCTCGCCTGACCTTTACTGAACGACGAGCTTATAACGATTGCCCGAATGGTTCAGCTTGTAGATGGAGCAGTGACAAGTCTACACAGAATACGTTCCGTATTCGACACGTGCAAGATGGCCGAATGAAAGATAGCTGGGGTTAACAAAAGCTGACTAGTTCATTCTAACAGCTGCAACTACTGGAACTAGGAGACGATTCGAGAATTTTATAGCAAGGCCGCCCTATAAAATATATGGCATACAACAGACTTGCATGGAGTTCGAGGCCATACAACCGGACATTCAAACAAAAACAAATATTTGTATTTGTTTTTGTTTGAATGACAGAAACAGGCCATATGTTGAGCTTCCAGATCGCAAATTACCAATCCATTCAGTATTGATTAATTCAATAAGATTAGAATTAATCACAAATGATAAGCAAACGTCACGATAGAATTGTCCCTGAATGTACCGTTCGAGGCGGTATGGAATACCTTGACGACATCTTGACGGATATAGACTCTCGTTACCGTGTTGAACTTACTGGAAATGCAGAAGCAAGACTTAAAATCGTCTCACATGAAAAATTACTTTGTGTTTAACATGCAGCAATAGTCAAGAGCCTAACGCGTTACTATTCTGTTCTCACGCCGTTTCAATATTTTTTTTTAATCAATGGAATGGTTCTAACTCTGAAAGACAAATACACCCTTGTATCTTGACCATCTTGAGTGTCAAATATAAACAATACGGATTTTTCACAACTGTGCAATAAACCTGTTTCAATTATACTATCATGCTGAAGTAATTTCTGCGATTGTCTAAATAAAAAAATAATTATTTTTTAATTCAGTCACTTTTAGTATAATTTAGATATTGTCTTATCAACAATGTTTAGTTGTTTTTAAGACACAACTAAATGTATCACAACGTAACATATCATTATCATTTTGATAGATGATCTTTTGCATTTTTTTTTCTAGTAATTCCACTACTGTCAATTTTCTGTGGTCTCCGAGCGAAAAGCTGGAAATTTTTCCATCCCTTTACTGAAACTAACTAAATACCATTTATGGAAATCGTGCAGAGAGTGGAATAGATGATGGTTTTATGGTGTATACTACATCCGGATGTTGCCGGGCTTTATGGCGGATGCATCAAGCTAACTCAATTTTCGCCGCGTAGCTAGAAATGTATGTGGGCATTTACGTGGTAGACGGTGATAGCTTATTACAGTTCCGGAGTTACTGACAGGGGAGATCCGAATCGATCATTTCACAAAGCGGCAATTCACAATATACAACATTTTTATTATCTCGCCAAGCCCATTTTCGAAGAACATCATTCGAAGACGTTCTTTCGACAATACGACTAGGGCCTGGGCAGCACTTTTACTACAAAATTGTTAAATATTTCACCTTTTTAAGGCGAATTTCTATTCCAAAATTTAATGCGAAACCTCGCTCATATTTAATACGTTTTTTTGGGATACCTTTACTTAGACCTAAGACAATTTCACATCTAACTTACCAGCAACCCTCTACTTTTAAGTGCGTCGGGTCGCCCCGACTCATGTTATCCGAAGTAACTGACAAAACGGCCAATGCCTTCGACAACGCAATATTTATTTGCGTTAACTAGCTTTGAATATTTTTAAATATGCGACATGTTGAAAATACTATTGATCTAGGTGTATATTCGTTATCCTTCTACAAAGATACAGTATTAGACCGGTGTAACGCATTGTGCTATGCTGTGACTATGCTATCTATAAACAAATCATGCCTAAACCTGGCGACTTTCATATGTTTTCACTGAAAGTAATGCCGCCATATTTACGTGTGCTAGTGCTCTGATGGTACTTGTGTCTTTACTATAACGGTCTAGTACAAATCATAGCTGGCATCCTAAAGCTAGTACTGGACCGTAACTACTAAGGGATCAACCAGCCCCACGTAATGGAAGATGTCACAAAGGGAAAATGAACATTGCCCTTTGTACTGCTGCAGGGACATATTTGTGAGCCCTTGAGCCATTTGAGAGGCATAGCTCTCTAGAGGCACAAGAAAACTGACTAAATTTCTAGACTACCATGAGGCGCAGTGTTGTGCTGTATAAGAAAACGGAAGTGAAAGTTGCTTTTATTTGGAAAAGGTATACCAGCAAGACCAAAATGTGTTCTCTTGCTTCTGCTAAGCCCCTCCAGTCTCTAGCGATTTAGCACAAGCGCGACCAGGTTGTCGAGCGAAGTTTATGCCAGTGAAGCAGAATTTGCCATTTCCACGCGTTCGAACCCGCAAATTGTGGCAAATCGTCAGGAAAGCCATTTCACGATAAAAACCCTCGGTCCGACTAACAGGCCAACGAGCGGGCAAGTACAGACTAAGCGAAGCGTCACTGAGCATTACTATTTTCATCGACGAGAGATCCTGCATACTGCCTCCGTCCTCAATTTCACATGATTCTGTCCAGGTAACGAGTGTACTCGTTGTTATTATTATTATTATTATTATTATTATTGAGTGCTAATGGTTTCACAACGGAAATTTTAGGGAAATAACACTTTAAGGACTGACAAATCGTACACATTTTACCGTAGTACTTTTGGTGTTGTTATTGTTACAATGGAGGAGATTACCGTGAGCATTTTTCTAACTATTTTTCACTTTTTTTCTATTATCCTTTAAGTACTCTGCCGGTAACTAGCTGAGTAAATGTAACGATACCTGCAGGATAGTCTAGATCGAATGAGAATGCCTCAGAAGCTAAAATAAGCGAATTTTCTTTCATTGTACCACTCTTTCTCTACAGAGGATCGACAGGCTATACTGTATACAAATACAGTATAAACAAACTAGTTTGTTTGTTTATTTTTTTTTAACTCCTGTTTCCGACTCTGCGTCGCGTGACTTTTCAAGCTAACAAAACTAACGGCTTGCATTATTGCCAGTATACACGGGGTGTCCCGAAATTCGAGGAAAGATTTTCAGTGGTTGATATATCACGTCTTCCGAACCGTTTTATATTTGAGACTGTCACCACATTTTGTTTTGCTAGATTCTTCATACCGTTCGTATTTGGGCGAACCTACATTTACCAGTGCTGCTTAATAAACTATGTCGAATGAATGTCTTGAAGATAATTAGCGAGTAGATTAAACGTTACATTGAATGGCATTTTTGTAAGCATACTTAAGAGTCATGTATATGTTCTGGATTATATATATATATATATATATAGCTAGAATACCACTTATCTTCACCTGTGTTTTAGGTCTCGACATGTTTTAAAATGCCTGGTCCTATTTCCAGTTAAAGTACTCACAACACCTGGCCGTCTTGGGAAGCCTGTGTTGAAACATACAAAAAAAGAGGAACGCCATACGCGTCGAGTCGAGTTGAGTGTAGAGTTTAAATAATGGGGCGGCCGCGGTGGGAAGTTTTTGCTATGTCCTACCAAGCAGATTATGCTAAAGATCGGTGGGTGTGCACGTAGAAGGCATTAGCATAAAATCGTTAGTAGTTGCTTGTCGACAAAACGATCTTTGTAGCGGTTCACCTTGCCGCTACCTCCAATTTAGAGGTCCAATAATGAGCTTGTATCCTACGGAAAACTTTTCTTCATGTGCACAGCCTCTGGCAACCAAATGGCCTATCCGGGACGGTGGTGAGGCTGTCCTTACGAGCGATACAACAATGAAGGATTGGCTGATGGTGACTCAAATCAACCAAAGCCCCCGACCGATGGAAAGTCATGAGTGACCGTCTGATGATTGATGTTTTCCTTCGTGCCTACCGGCCGTAATGTAACGGTGAACATTTTCGGCTTCAGCTTATAACCTTGCGCAATGGTAAATTTACATTAGGGCCAATTGATCATCCTACTTCTACTTCATAGGAACCTTGCATGAAGAGCCATTCAAGGATATGCTAAAAATATTGGAAATTGCAAACCTCGAACGTTGCAAACATTGTTACTTGGGCGAATCGCGTGTCGTCTGTCCAGTGCATCACCCCGTCCTGTTGTATGAGTTAAGTACACAAAGCACAATGGTACCAAGAAAAATACTGCAGCCAGTGGTGGGAAGTAATCACGCTTTATTAAAATTGATTAAGTCACAAAAAACGTGACGAATAAATACACACGTTTTAATATATTGTGACAAATATCAGGCAAATAATAGACGCATTTCTGACAAGGTTGATACCTCACTTTTCTGAATACCGATTTAACGTTGAAGCAGTGGTCTTAGAAGGGCTCAAAAGTTTAGCCATCGCTTTATTTTTTCAGTTCTCTTAGCATTCTTTCATTTCAAATGTACTTTATTAAATATATTCACTCTTATACTAAAGCCCTGTTGTAACTTTGGAGGATTAATAGGTAAACACTATTCTGGTCGTATTCGAGCAAGCCATCTGCAGTGAGTGTCGGTAAAAACAACATTAATATAAATAGCGGGGAGTGTGGGGTGTTAAGATTCAATTCTTTTCGCAGCTAAGAATTAGCTAAATTGACCAAATAAAAGAAATCAAAAGTTGTGGCAAAGCTGACCTTTGTTACGCTATTCAAACTGCACGTTTAAGCGATTCCTTGACGTCTAATCTGTCCTTGTTGTTGAATGTATTATTACACCAATTTTATATTGAAATTATTATAATATAATGGTAAACAATCGATGCAACATAGACCTCTTAGGTTAGGTTGATATATATCAAAATAGCTAATAAGCTTTTAAAATAGCTTGAAAATTTGGAAACGAAAATCGGAAGCTCAATTATCTTTCCACCGACACATCTTCGACGTTGTAAAAGCTAATGCTATACTAATTCATCGATACCCTCATTTAATACTACGTTCGCAAACATTTTTCCTAACCTTGCATGGCCATAGAGAGAGAGAGAGAGAGAGAGAGAGAAAGAAGAAGAAAATTTTATAAGTAGACACCTAATAGTTACGCTTTCCCTTGAAAAGACCGCAGCGAACCTTGTATCGCAATTCACATATATATATATATATATATATATATATAATATATATATATATAATATATATATATATTATGTATATATTAGCATAATAAATAATGTATTTGTGTAGTTTATGTCGTGCGTTCAATATTATAACTTACGGTTGTAGTTAGATATCAACTATTATACACAGAACGCTCAACGCAGACATAATCAAATATGTATCGTCGACCGGTTAAGCTATTAAAAAGCAAAAACAGACAATCTAAAAACCTTAGGTCATTTAACCCTAGTTATTATGTGCACTCCGCCCCAATTCAAACAACGAATTGATCTTCGTCATATGTAAATGATGAAAATAGGTATATTACCACACGTACGTGGGTTAGAAATGCGATCGGGGTTGCTGCCCAGTATTTGCCGCGAAAATCATATGTATCCATTTTCGTTTCTTTTCCCTTTACGTTCTGTTACGGTACCTTCTGCGGATACTCGGCAATGGTTCTCTACAACATATTTGATTTTCTTCACAGCTGCATCGACATCTTCGGCGGCGACATCGAGATGGAAAGTAGCTCGAACAGAAGTTCGAGTTATAGGGAACATCCGAACCTGAATTTCTTCGCCAAGCTCATAAACTTCGTCGTGGTAGATCTAATAATGGACGCAATACAAGCCAATTCGTAATAACGTCCCCGCTAAATTACAAAAACATCCCATTCATCTAATCTCCCTGATGCACATAGTACTTGTATAGTAAAGCTAAAAAAAAAAGCTTACCGTGTCAACAAGTTCACAGAACTGAACTGGGTTGTATCCGTTCTTCATGTGAAGAATCGTCATATTGGTTTGAACCTTTGTCAGGTCTATTGAGAATATGTCATTGTCAAAAGGGGCAAGCTTTTGCGCAAAGGCATAGTTTTTTTCATGATCCTGAAAAACGCCATAAACATTAACTCATTTTTTTTTTTATAGCGTTTCGTGTTAAATTATTTGCTTCTCATATACACCTGGCTTTAGCTAACAGGGTGAAGCAAGTGTGCAAGCAAAGTGAAAGCAAGTTCATTCGTCTCGACCGTAGTAGTGAGCTGCACTAGCTAGCCTATACAAGGTTGAGCTATTCAACTAGCATCCTTAGACGGCAATCAGTCGCGTTGCTCTTCACTTGAAAAACAAAAAACCTGTGACTCCAATTCAGCATACTATTAGCATTACACCAAGAGTGCTAAGTGGTCATTGACAGAGTACCTTATAAAGCCCTTTATAGGTCGTGTTTAATGCGACGATACCGGCTGCTGCCGCAATTCCCACCTGACGTAGTCCGCCACCGAGGACTTTCCGTATACGCCGAGCCCTAAACAAAAAGGACAAATTATTATTACGAACGAACGTTTCTGCTTGCGTGAAAAGAATTTCTTTTCTAATTATTATTATTATTGATAAACGCATCAAGAAAATTAAACTTCTATGGGGCCTAGATCGCTGTAAAAGTTACCGTGAGTAGAAAAATCAGCGATTATGCCTTCACCTGAAACAGCGTTGAGCTAGACAAATTGCTTTATCTGTATAACTAAAATAAATAAACAGATGGAATAGAAACTGTGCAGCGAGAACTTACCCTTTACAAAAGTCCTTGGTGCCTGCAAGAAGCGATCCAATGGGAGCCCCAAGACCTTTTGAAATACACATCATTACAGAATCAGCGTTCTTCGTCAACTCGCTGGGAGCGCAGTGTAGGTATGTAGATGCGTTCAGAATACGAGCGCCGTCGAGGTGTAGGGGCAGACGATTTACTTTAGCGAAATTACCTACAAATCCAAAACATACAGTGCGTAATTAACGCGAAAAAAACTAGACTTGATCCCATTGTATATTTATTGGTCGTAGAAACAGCCGTATGTATATATATATATATATTGGTTAAGTGAGCTAACCAATCTGCTTCATGTAATCACAGTTAAGAACAACGCCTCCCATGAAGTTGTGTGTGTTCTCGAGACATAGAAGTGCCGTTCGTGGTGTGCAAACATTCTCGTGGGGCCTCAAGCGCCGTTCAAAATCCGAGATTAGGATCCGGCCGTCGTCTTGCGTAGGAGCCGGATTGATACTCAAGCCACCTAGCTATGAAAGAACAACACAACAGCATAACTTGGGTTTGTATCTTTCTTCAGCAGAAGAGAGACTTTCTCCGTGCAAGCATATATAAAGTACTGCGTTAATGTAAATTTCGTATAAATTCTTAGTGGACTGCGCGTGATCATCATCGCGTCCGTTGGAAGTGGCTCACTATAGTAGATAGTGAATACATACACAATAACAATTTTACTTTAAGACAGTCGCTAATGTATAGCAAATCACTTTATATTAAAGGTGATTTACTGTATATACCGTAAAACGGTGACGACACTGTTCTACAGGTAAAAACCCCCTTTGTTAAAAAAATAGAAGGCTCATTTACGCGAATATCTAACAGAAATAGCAGGCCTCTTGTTACAAATAGATAAAATTTGATAGTAATGTAATGCAATTCCAATGAGATTGCGTCGATATTGAGCACCCTACGATTTTATTCGAACCAGGGGGCGTCTAATGTAAATAAATAAAATCAACTGTAAATAAAATAAATCAAATAAAATTTCGATCGAAAGAAGTCGTACGATATAGGCCGAAAATTTAGATAAAGTTATAATAATATAATCACTGAAATACATCATCATCAACAAATGGCAGCTAGACTGGGATATCTAATGCAGCAAAGGGTGATATTATACAATTATACCTTCACAATAATAGGTAAAAATACATCTAATTATTATTATTTTGCGTACAGTACGATATCTTTTTACCTAGTCCGGTTAATACATCGTCACATTAGATCTCAGCTAAAATTGATGAACAAAAAGAATAATGAGAAACCTACCGACGAAGCACCACCCTGCTCGTTCAGGAATATGTGACACATATCTCCACACAGAATTTCATCACCGCGTTGCCTGAAATGATCATTATTCCAGCATTAAGTATTCCATTTCTGCAGTATTGTCACATAGAATGTCATGTCTATGACATATAATTGTATGGTAATAGGTGTTCTTGGTATGAGCACCAGACTAATCACGCATCGATCAGGGTAGCCTGTTTTACAGGCGGCTTTAGATTTTTTTTGAAATACTTATCGATCGATCGATCCGTCCGCAATTAAGATTCACAAAGACAATTCTTCGCGATTAAATACTGAAACAGACTGATCAAGCCAAATTTAGAACTAATTTAAATAACAAGTAGGACCGTACGTACTTGCAGTGTGTCATAGTGGCGCAGATGTTCGCCATTGTTCCCGATGGAAAAAACAGCGCGTCCTCCTTTCCAAACAGTTCGGCCACCATACGCTGCAATTCTGCGTTACCCCATATTTAACATCATACACACGAAGTAAATCATCATAATGTACTTTTAAAGTAAAGTGAGTAAATAACCGCTAGGCGAGACACATTTTTAAAAGCCTGATCATTACCTATAACCGTTGGGTCCTCGAAGAACATGTCGTCGCCGACCCTAGCCGCAGCCATTGCGTCCCTCATAGCGGCTGTTGGTTTCGTGATCGTGTCGCTGCGAAAATCGCACACGTGTCGGGCACGCATTTCGGCGTTTGGAGTCGATCTAGTTTCAATAGAGGACACCATATGATTATGACGGTAATGTATGTAGCACCAATAATAATCTGTCCGCGTTCGAACAATAAGGACGACAACTCCGCGTAAACAGTCTGTGCAAACACCCATATTGTCTGCCGTTTCAAATATATGACGCAGACATACCTGCTTCACAGACTTTTTTACTTATTTGCAGGCAGGTCAAGTGTGTGTGGTATCAATTTCGGCTATTAAAGTTACATGTGACATTTTACGCCAGTACCATTCACCTGGATCTTCAGCGTCTCCAGCGTTGGTATAAATATATTATACCTGCGGAACGCGCATCAACTGTGTTACTATTAGCAGAAATTCGTTAGTATCGTTTGACAAACGCCGAACTCATTTTCTATTGTTTGTAACATCGATCTCCCATCATCCCGTTTGTATTCATCTATGAATGAGTACAAAAGATCAATAGGGAAATGCTGTTCCTTTTAGAGAGAACAATCCCGAAGCCGTGACTCCCAACATCGCTATATGAGAGAATACTGCCACACAAAAATGCCAAGCGTTAGTAACTTCATGTTCTTCGATGCCCTATTTCGCCGCGCTATGTGATTGATTAAGGGGGAAGGTCCGATGCTTGGTCCGCATGCAGTGGTTCCCCCTCGTTAGAAGAGGTGCAAGGAGCCGTAACAAATGTGTTCTGGTTACATCTAGTCTCCCAACATCCAGCAACACTACACAGTACGATCGAGAAGTCCACATGCAGTCGTAGGGGGCGTTCACTGAGCGTTTTCCAATAGAAGTTCACAGAGAGAGGTGGGTGAGACAAAAGTGAAAAGGCTTCCTACCCTGGCCGGTATACTAAGACCATAATGCGACTATCTAGTCATCCGCCTCGATTTGCCGCCCAGTCAACTCAATTTCTAGTCGTGATATTTTCCGTGCATGAGTTATACATACATTTACACTTCATAAAATAATCTTCTCAAAAGGCCAGTTGAAATATATATTTCATATTGAGAATATATATTCTCAAATATGTATAAGTTATTTTTGTATTACATCTGCCTAATGGACCTGCTAGCCCTTAGGACACTTTGGTTGGTAAATATACTCCAGAAGGAAAAATACCTCTTAGCCTTGAAAAATAAATGTTCGGTGGTCAAGTTTTTCTTCCTGTAAGACCAGAACGCTTCTTCAGCGTATTCTGCAATACGCTGGTATGCGAATAAATTGGGCAACGAGGCCTTAAGAAAAAGCACTGTACATGAATCTTGTAATCATTTGAAAAATGGAAATTGGAGTGCCGAGGATCAGGATGGCCAGACGTTGGCATCCTAGGACAAAGACGCATTGTAAAAGGGTTCTCACAAAAGCAGACCTTCGACTTCCGTGACCTCTGTCGACCAAAACTGAAACATCACGCGTAACATATTACCTAATTAAAACTTACATACTGAAAATGCGTACACTAAGTATAAAATCGATTTCTCGAACCAGCAAGAAATGTGCGTGGTATATGTCGCCTGCGAAAAACCTGCCAGGAGCATGCGGTTGCCCAAAATGGGTTTAAGTTCAGCATCTATTGCTACGACATATTCGCCAAAAATGAAACGATGAATGCAGCCAGCTATTTCGAGTTTCTCAAAAACCGTGGGAACGACAATCGAGTATACGCAGTGTGCTTACTGACGATACCAAACGTTATCACAATGACTTAATTGCTTTCTTATTTTAGCAGAGGAATACCCAACGTTGGCTTTTGCTCGCTTATTTCTCCGCCCTGGTCCGTGATTATGGTGCTTTTTATGACCTATGAACTATGCAGAAACTACTAAATATATAAGTCTTATAACTATATATGATCCATGTGTGGTATATATGTACATAAAATAAAACATACATTACTATGAGCCATTATCAATGTCACTTCACTGCGTTTTTAGAATTCTCTTGAAGACTTTCAAGGGTTTTTCCCTAGAAAATACTTAAAACAGTGGGAATGGACTACTCTATCACCGACGGTAGAGCGATACGATGACATAATGGAGCAAATACTTTTTGCTTATTAAAGGTCAAAGAAAAATTCCTCCTCACGCATACCTGTTTTTGTATAAACACTTGTCACAACTCAGTTGAGCTAATCGGGTAACTTCCATCACCAATTGCAACTTACACTATCCAGCCTTTCAGGAATCCAAATAGCGTAACCGATGAGAGGGCCTATTTCACAGATCAGATTTGGAATAGAGTTACACACTTGCAGGTTTTTTGCGACCGTAAACCTGCAGAGTTTTGTTTCTTCGAAACAGTCGATTTAAGCTCCTGGATAGAAAAGAAAAACCCCCAAATCTCCAAGTAATAAGAATATAAATAATTATATCTGGATATATAAATGGAAATATCCGTTCCAATTTCACCCACTGCGATCGATTACTTATAATAACAATATTCGTTGTTTTTGCATTTTGTGTCTTCGCACCCGTGCCTGCCGTTTGATCAACAGATTTAGCAAATTACATTTGTATAAATACGCTCAGTTAATTACAAAAAAAGCTGTTATGATGATTATTTGCGAAGAGAAAAAATACAAGAAGAACAACCTAGATCAATTGCTTCGATCAATTCATTGATTATATTGAAGTGTACATTATTTTTTACGTAGTATCGCTGATAACTTAACTGGCCTATACTGTGATAGATGGAGTCTGGAGTAGTGGCTTTTATTTCCCTAGTAATTTTTTCTATATATAAGAAGGTCCGACCATATCGTACTGCATATTAGCAAAACACTTATATTGACACTGGCGTATCATTTTATTGTTACCTGAGTGCTTTTTGGCGGCTATCATTTTACCACGTATTTCGAAAGCTGTACGTGCTGAAATTTTAGCAAACGATACGATCTTTTGCCGAGGGATCATTGCTTTAAGAAAAAAGTTCTGCGAAAAATATCATATTATTTGCTATGCTAAAATGTAACCATGTCATTGTCGAACAGGTGACGACGCGAATATGAGGATCTGATATGATTCATAAATGAAAAGGACCGTGTGTATTAACCACCCGTCAATTACTACGCATTTAATTTCGTTAGTTTTAGACCCTCTCATAGCAGTTGTGTTGAGAAGATCGCGTTCTTTGATTGAATCTGGGTGTTCCGAAAGATGCCTAAACTATTCGGATAGCAGTATGTAAGTGTAAGCTTCGCGTTTTTTAAATGCGAATGAACTTTTGCTCAACTCAAAGATAACTTATTCCGCCAAAATCACTAGATTCTGAAATTTCTATAATCAGAACTTATCCTTTGCCAATACACCAGTTCCTGAAACGATCGTACTGTGTAATGTAAGAGTGCGATCGTTTACCAAAAAGACTAATTCACTTATACGAAGTATGAGCATAAGGCGCTACACGGCCGACCAGAAGAGTTCCTCTTCCACTGTTGGTGCTCTACATGGTGTAGTCGCAGTATCATGGCCTAAAAAAGGACCGTCTACCATCATCGTCATAACACATATCCGGTACCAAGACCAAATAATCGAAAGCTTTGAAGGCGCTTTGGTGAAGATCCAAATAAGTAAATCGATTGTAACTGAGTGGAAGCGATTTAGCGAGAAGCCTGCTTCTCGTGTCGCCAGATTAGCACCGTATCTAAACGTATTTGCGTCTACTTGGGACAGGGCTGACATCTTCTATTAGCTACTATGGCAGTTTTATCGGTACAAGACACATTAATAAAGCGATCATGGTAAGCGGGACACCAAAAAATTTATTACTGGCGATCGAAGCATTGGAAATGGGGTCTAATCTTGATATTGGGCCATAAAATTGTCGAGACCCGCCGAGATTGACCACGCAGTCGGTCGTAATTGGTTTCATCCAGATCGAGTATCGAAAGTTGAAACGATGCAGCTCCGTAGACAGTTATAGCTTTTCCGATTTCCGGAAGAAGATAACAGATACCGAAAAATACAAAACGCTGTTCACCAGAAGCAATACAATTATGTAGATGTTTAACTATTGACAGAGGCTCGGTTTAAGAGACTGTATAGGCATAAATTAGTAGGTTTCGTAAGCTGATAAGCTCCTTTAGAGCTTTTGCATTAATATCAAGAGTTTATACATATTATTTTTTTCTTTTATTAATTTAAAATTTTTATGGTGACGAGATATAGCACGAGAATCTTTAGTGCCAGGAATGCATACATCGCTAGTTAAAAAAAGGGTTAAAAATAGGGGTAACTTTATTTGTTTTTAGAGAATTTTTTTTATTAGATTATTTTAGGCATTTCTTTCATAGAAGATTCCGTTCGGGTTCGTCAGTTTTTGAGTCAGGGGTCTGTTTTTGAAGCTCATCATTCAGGGCATCTTGTCGTTATAAATAATTAAGCTTGCTTGACCCAGTTTTGTTTACACTTTATAACATTTATATAATCTAATTATTTCTAACCAATTACACTTCAGTTCAGTGTATAGTACACTTTCCCTACGAAAACTACCGCCGATAAAGCTCTCTGCTACGTATGATGATAGGTAACCTCCCCACTAGAGTCGACGTGTGTTGGCCGATGATAAAATCATGCCAACCTGCCATTTTTCATATTTGCATGTTCGAATCGTAAAATAAGTTTTTTTTTTTCTTTTTTTTTAACGAAACAATGATAATTTGAGCGACTCATCAGTGTAGGTGATGCGTTTGTCAACGGCTCTCGCTGTCGCTCCGGCACTCGTTGCGTCTTTAGAATTCGATTCTTGGACCTCTTAAGTAAGCAGTATTAACGCTGTTGATAGTATTAATGACCTTCTTGATAGAATCAACTTGCATAATTATCTCCTTGAGTCATGTCTAGCAGGCGTCTTGGCCGTGACAGCGGTTTAATAACAAGAATATATTAACATAGATCGAAGCGATATGATAATCTCTATTACCAAACGTCGGCCATATCTGCCCCTATAACGCACGGGTGATAAACTGTTGGAATGACATGAGATCGTTACGGTTACGGGGTGCGACTACAGTTGACATTCGATTACGCGTCTTGTCGTTAACCGCTATTATGACAAAACGGGGGGGCTGGGGCTGAGTTTAATTGGGATTCCTAACAAAGGCTTTACTTAATATAGGTTACACGGAGTCGTGTCTGGTTACTGGAACAATACACTAGATGAGACTACATAGTACAACCGATAACCTAATGAGCTTAAGACGTACGCCAGGTTCGGGGGGTGGTAATGAACGTTGGTGGGGTAAGTTAGCAGCGAATTACATCTTTGGTCATTATGGACGGATTCTAGAGCAGTTCGATTTATTGATCGAATCTGAGGTTACGACAATTAAAGCAGCTATTCTTAGAATAGTCGAAGAAATCATATTGGACTCATGTTCCACATTAAAGCTATACCAATATTGTTTTGATAAGTATTTACATCACTATAGATACTATAATATATATATATATATATATATATATATATATATATATATATATATATATATATTAATCATTGGACGTAATCTACTATTGTAAGATTAATTTGCTTTTGCGGAAAACTGACGTAAACAGAGAATCACAGTTATAGTTCATTGCTCTTTTATTGAACAACAGATGCCGTCCAGATACTTTGTCCTTGAAGCTCCGCTGAAGAAACTCCGTGTGAATAACCCAAATCGACTAAAGCTCTATTATTTTACCACATGCTTTATGAGCGGCTCTGATCGCATAAGTTGTATTAAAATTGCATGCATTTTTTGCGTAGTGGTCACAAATTTACACTTACCTTTCGGAAAATTAACAACACATATAGAAGTGCGTAGTTGGGCTCGATTTCGTTGGCGGCTGTGTGAGTCTTCCTTTATTTCTTTGAAAACGGGATTGTAATCTTGCATTGGCTAGGATTTGGATGTGGAAGCACCCGAACGAAACAAACCAATTAAATGTGTCTATTATAGACCTGCACGCGTCTGAGATGTGAGAGTATTAGGGATCTGAGTGTCTAGGATCGTGTTTGCTGAGGCAATCTAAAGACCTCCTGTGTTTCGCGCGCTTAGCTATCATTTTACCCTCGTGCAGTAGCCGATCGTCTTTTGTTTGGTTGCTTCTCGTGACGTCACAGGACCGTGAGGGGTAGATCCCTTGCCCTCCCGGCCATTGCTGAATCATGCCAGTGACAGCAGCCGCGGAAGCAATACCGTGCTAACAGCCCTGTCCGAACGAAAACAACTACCTCTGTTATAATGTATCAACAACTGGGACGGCAGCAGCTGCTAATCAATTGAAAAAAGAAAAGGTTAGAAATCAGAGGTAGGTCGGCATCGAACGATCTATAATCGGTCATTAGGCACTGATCAGTTTTTCAATACCCCTTAGACGCGGTTTGAAACAGGTACATAGTGAAAAGTAATAATAACTATTTGGACATTTTTAGTGCGAGTTTTGCTAATGTATTTTTTATGTAACGCAAGATGAAATTAGGCAAGGCACCCTTGAATCTTAATTTAATATTCATTTTATTGGACCCTCTACTAATCGCATGCCTGGCATGGCTGAACATCATTGTGATTAATCCGAGCCTTTAGTAAAGAACTATTAACCGATCTGTAAAGTATAACATCTAGACAGGACGCTTCTGCGTGAATATTAGTATCTGACCAGCCCTCGAGAAACAACAAAAACAAATAATCTGAAAACTATCTTTGCCTAGCATTATAAAATCGTTGTAGCTACTTAATCGCACGCCAGCACGATACAAACTAAGCTTTCGTGTAATACCATAACCGCTTAGTAAATGAATGCTGTTAGTGAAATTAATAAGCATGAGTGAACTGTTCGGCGTGCAACTAATTGCCTCCTCCCCGTAAATATGAGAAGAATTTAATATCCAATTAGAACTACATCTCTACTATCTTTGAGAGCTCCTACTTTAAATCTGAACTACTTTAAATAGTACATTGTTCAGTTTCATCATTGTAGTTAGTTATAGTATTCACTAGTTTTTTTATACCTAGGTTGTTTTAGGTAGCTACCGTTGGCCTTGTGCATGTCGAGGAGTGTGCCTGTGGTTTTCACTACTGCTACTGCCTATGCAGTACCGTCAGTTCGGGTAATCGCGTAATCGGCTTCAAGTCGGAGATAACCTATCTACGCAATCTCTTAGTATGGCAAATTCGCCGACGCAGCACACTGTGGAAGAAAAGAGTAGGTTAATGATTATTCTTCGACGCATCCTTAAACGGGCTAGAGCTTCAAGAGTCGCTTTGATCCTCAGCAGACAGATCGAGAGGAAAGCTTGATTGAGTTTATCGCTCACGGATACCTGACAGTGAATTTTGCCACGAGTCATCGCGTTCCAGGGACAGCTGGAAGTATTTGTACCTTCGACGTCTGGTCACTACGTGTACTT